CCTCCCAGACGGTGCACAGACCCACCCCCCTCAGACGGTACACAGACCCACTCCCCTCAGACGGTCCCAGACGGTGCACAGATCCACCCTCAGCAGCAGGGTTGAGAGTGCCCATTGGTGGTGAATATTTAGTGGTTTCAATTATTAGATTGAAACAAAGCCATGGGTGACTTGCTGTCCTCAGAGCCCCTGACTGGTGGCATGTCTCTGCCTCTGGGTGCACTAGGCAGATGGACATGCATTGGTGTTGTGGTCCCCAGAAGTGATGGGTGAGGGAGCACTCCCTCCTCACTCGAGTCTTGATGTGGGCACTCATCACACCCACACATCTCTGACAAATGTGTCATGTATTTGATGAAATCCCGGCAAACCACTAGCAATCCAGCTAAATGGTGACTCCTGTGACAAAAATAACCCAGCACTTAATGTTTCTAGTTATTAGCACACATATGTAACTGCTCCTGGCTTTAAAAATAGGCAGTTGAAAATGTTAGAAGATTCGGCTTAGTCAGCTTTTTTTTTCTTTTCTTTCCTAATTTTTCCTTTTCTGGAGCCTTATGTAAGAATCAGAACGAGAAGCCAACAGCACCACCGTTGTTTCAGTCACTGCCTCTCTGGCCTCCCTGTCCCCCACTCACCACAGGGATCAGAGCGAGTGAGCAGAGGAGGAGCATTGTGTATCTGAAAGAAGATGCTTGATCCTGACCACGTGAAACTTGACCCTGACCACAGGGAGGGGGGTGGCTGGGGGGCCTGACCTCTGCTGCACCCCCACCACAGCTGCCTGGTCTCCCCACCTTGGGGACGTGGCACTCTCCTTCCTCCTGACCATTATCCAGGCTGCGGTGGATGGGACACCTTCCACAGCATGGGCCCATGCAGGCAGCCTGTGGGAGTGGCACCAGCCAGGATGAACCGGGGCTGGGTCCCAGTAGGGACAGAGCAGATGTGGCAGGTGGCAGGGGTCAGGGCCCAGGGCCCAGCTAGCTTCTCCCTCAGGCCATCTCCCTTGACCCAGGGTGGGGTCCGGGTTGGAGCTTGGCAGTTGGAGCTGCAGAGGGTTGTTCTGTGAGTGGCTAGGGCTCATATCAGGGACAGTGACCTCTTTCCCCCCCGCCCAGGTGCACAGCCCCCAGGCCTGGCGCAGCCCTGGAGCCATCTGTATGGCGGGGATAGAAAGTGGCCACAGGCCAGACAGGCATCCTGAAGATGGTGGGGCTTCCAGGGTAGACCCGGAGGGTTCCATGGCCATGCACAGTCCCCTGGGCTGCGTGGGGAGGTGCGGAGTAGGGGGCTCACGCTCCACATGCATGGGGTGAAAATGCTTCCACGGCCCTGGTTTCACTTTGAATTTTATGAATGTCCTTGTTAATTAACATTGTACCATGAGCAAATGTTCATAAAATCAATGAATCAATACAAAAATTATTTTTGAAGACCTTTTAGAATCTGACCACTGATGAGACTAACTTGGGTTCAGGCCCAGTGTGACCATAGGCGCCGCGCCCCCGCTCCCGGCCTGCGTTCTCTGCACCTGGCCGTGGCGCTCAGGGCATCCTTCTGCGATCACTTCTCAGACCCAGAGGTCTAACGGATGTTGTGGCGGTGGACCCCTTCCACTCAGTCACCATCTGTGTTCTTATTTAAATGGCAAAGCAGACTTGAAACTTTGTTCTCTTACCTTGAAACTAGGGCTCTTAAAACTTTGACAATGTCTTTTCTAGTTGCAAAAGAAACACTTGGTTGATTCATAATGCAAAAGACTGGAAAACCAGAGAAGGCCTCACTTACTCCCTCCCAAAAAACACCCCAAACGCAGGTCAGAGCAGCCCTTGGAGACCCTGTGTGCTGCTGCTGTCCACGCGCATCCCCAAGCCCCTCTGGTGGGCGTGCTCACATTTCCAGGAAGCTCACGGGCTCGCTGGGGGTGTTCTGGGGGAAAGGACAGCTGGACAGAGGAGGGACACACCCTGCCGCCTGGGCACCCAGGATGTGCTCAGTGCCAGCTGCTCAGTGCCCTCACGCACCCGGCCCTGGTTCTGCCGCCCACTGAGCCCTGTTCCGAGGGGGCAGGGGCTGTGCAGGGTGGATGGCCCCCCTTCTGGCCCTGAGCGGCCTGGGCATGTGTCTTCCCCGGCAGCTGCCTCTTCCTCAGCAGGGCCTGGGGCGCAGTCCTGGCCGTGGGCTCCCAGGAAACGGCCTACCTGGAGCCTCCATAGACCTTTGTCCTGTGCAGATTCCTGTCCTTTTGGGGACCTGCCCGTGTTGCTACTGCAACAAATTTGCTTTGTTAACAAGAGAGAAAGAAACGTGGTTTTCCTGTTTCCACTTGAGAGCTTCAGCCCTGCTTCCTCCTGCAGGCTTATCCTGGCAGCCAACAGGGATGAATTCTACCACAGACCCTCCAAGTTAGCAGACTTCTGGGGGAAGAACAACGAGATCCTCAGTGGTGAGTCTTCCTTCACGTGGGCGGCTGTGGCGTGGCGGGACGGGCAAGCCCCAAAACCCTTACAGGCATTGCTGGTGCCCCTTCCCAGGGTAAATAAGTAGACACTGACGGGTCTCGTGAAGCTGGCTCCAGAGTTGGGGTCCAGGGCCAGTGCTGGGTGGATAGCCCCGGAACTGTCCACCCAGCACCATCCGCGTGGCTGCGTGTGTGTGGACCCCCAGAAGAAGCAGCTGGAAGGGTGGGTTGGTCTGGTTGGGATCAGCCCTTCAGCTGTGGGCGTGCAGTTGGATTTGTACAAAGTGCATGTCCACACTTGGTCCCCCTGAAGCATCACAGTTGTGGGGGGGGGGGTGTGTGTGCTTATATCTGCATTTCTGTTTACACACAAGTATCCCTTGCTCCAGGGAGAGCTGGCCTGAATTTGGAGAGCAGAGGCTTGGTTGGGGCACATTTGGGGGGAGCTGCACGAGGAGTTCCCATGGGGGTAGAAGAGGAGGTGACAGCTGGGTCCCCTGCCTGCCCATCCAGCAGCCTTCTCGAGCCCCTTGGATAGGGAGCACTTCCTGCTGTGGGGTGGGCAGGGGTCTACTTGGAGGGCATGCAATCAGGTGTTGGCCAGGCCGGGGTCCCTCTACCTGTGAGCCAGGCACCAGGCAAGCATAGGGAGCCTGGTAGAGCTGACGGGGACAATCCAGGTGCCTGGTGGGCTGGGCGTGTGGCTTCATGGGTTCACGGAGGCTACGTGAGCCCTGCTCTGCCTGTGGGGTCTAAAAGCTCGACTGTGGAGCTTCTGCAGAAGGCCTCCTGTAGACCATGGTCAGGTAGTGGTGTGAGGAAAACACTGCCGAGGCTGGATCATCCTAGTGCCATGTAGGAGGAGGCTGGGAGTGGGGAGACCAGGGTAGGGCACAGTCCTGGGTGGGAAGTCTGTCAGGTGGTGGGGAAAGTGCTGAGAGGCTGTGAGCAGGGACCCCAAGATGGCTGGGTGCAAGAGGGAGAAGAGGCTGGGTCTCTGGGCTGGTCTTGGCCTCATCACAAGCTGCATGGGAGACCTTGGAAATGTCTAGACGTGCAGACAGGAGCATGGGGTGGGGCTGGTGAGGAGACTGCTGCTGCATAAGCTCTGGGCACAGCAGTACAGTAACGTGGGGGTCGTATGTGTGTGGGGACCTCTCCCAGAGATCATGGGGCAGGCCTGTGGGGCCATGGGAGGAAGGCCAAGGGGAGCCTGTGGGCACAGCCAGAACCATCCTGGGCTAGGATGAAACAGAAGGGGGTCATGGGGACAGGGCAGGCTGTGCATGTCGCTGCTGCAGGGCACAAACGGGAGGATGAAGTGGGGTGAGAGGGCTGGTGCCCTTGGGAACAGGGGCAGGAGGCACCTCTCGAGGATTTTTGTAGATAACACAGAGGCTGGGACAAAGGGTTAGCCTGCTGGGCCCCTTGGCTGTCCTGGCTATCTGGGCTCCTGCCTACCCTGGCACTTGGGTCTGCACCTGGCCCCTGAATCAGGGCTGACTCTGGCTGGGTGCTCCAGCCACTTGGACTCATTCATTCTTTGTAGTGATTTGGAGGCGGCCCCTGGCACACTGATATGGAGCTTCTGCCTAGTGGGAGGGTGGCTCTGTTGCACCACAGTGCTGGGTGGACCCAGTGGCCACCACATGCAGCTTAGGGCTGGAAGACACCAAGGTCTACATCCTCACACTGTCTGGCATCACCAAATTGTGTGCAAAATTGTAAGCCAGTGGTCCTCCAAGTGTGGGCCTTGAGCCAGTAGCATCAGCATTGCTTAGGAACTTGTTAGAAATATTTAGGTATTATTTCTTCAAATATTTTTTTCTGTCTCCTGCTCTCTCTTCTCAATCTCTTTCCCTCTTTCTGCCTCCGGTTACACATATATGAGTTTGCTTGAAGTTGTCTCACACTTTGATGATGCTCAGTTCATTTTTAAAAACTGTTTTCTCTGTATTTCATTTTAGATAGTTTCTATTGCCATATTCTAAAGTTCACTAATCTTTCCTTCTGCAGTGTCTGATCTGCTTTTAATTCCATCCTGTATGTTTTTCATCTCACAACTTTGCAGTTTTTATCTCTAGAAATTTAATTTTTATATCTTTCTTATCTCTACCTAACTTTTTTTAGCATGTAGAATACAGTTATTATAACTGTTTAAATGTCCTTGTCTGTGAATTCTGACATCTGTGTCAGTTCCAGCTTAGCTGGTCTCCAGCCAAGGCAGCGGATCCGCACCAGAGCACCTGTGTGTGTGTGTGTGTATGACCTGTCAAGTGGCTGTGGTCACTGGGAAAATGCAGACGAGCCCTACTGGCACAACTTCCAGCAGATGTAGCAGGTTCAGAAAACACAGTTCCTGCCCTCCCTCCCCGCCCGTGGTGCCAGGTGGAATCTGCAACCTGAGGTTACCACTATGTGCCGGCAAAGGATCACGTCATCAAACCCCATGAAGAACTACATTAACACTCCAGAGCAGAAGGAAAGTGACAAGTCTCCAGAAACCAATCCCGAAGTCACAGAAATTTACAATCTAAATGACAGAGAATTCAAAATAGTTGTCATAAAGAAACTCAACGAGTTACCAGAAAACTCAGAAAAACAGTTCGATAAACTCAGGAATAAAATTAATGAGCAGAAGGAATTCACCAAAGAGATCAAAACTCTAAAAACAAAAAAACACCAAACAAATTCTGGAGATGAAGAACACAATGGATGAGATTAAAAAAAAAAAAAAATCTAGAAACCTTAAAAAACAGAGCTGATGTTATGGAGGACAGAATTAGTAATTTAGAGGATGTAAATATAGAAACACTTCAGATGGAGGAGAGAGAATTAAGACTTAAAAAAAATGAAGAAATTCTCTGAGAAATATCCAACTCAATTAGGAAATGCAACAGAAGGATTATAGGTATTCTAGAGGGAGAAGAGAGGCAGAAGGGAGCAGAGAGCTTGTTCAAAGAAATAATAGCTGAGAACTTTCCAAACTTGGGGGAAGAACTGGACTTACAAGTGTATGAAGCCAATCGAACTTCTAACTACATCAATGAAAAAGACCTTCTCCAAAGTATATAATAGTAAAACTGGCAAAAGTCAATGACAAAGAAAAAATACTAAGGGCAGCAAGGCACAGGAAAATAACCTACAAAGGAACCCCTATCAGGCTTTCAGCCAATTTCTCAGGAGAAACCTTACAGGCTAGGAGAGAATGGAACGATATATTCAAAATACTGAAGACAAAAACTTTAAGCCAACGGGCCGGCCCCGTGGCTTAGTGGTTAAGTGTGCACACTCCGCTGCTGGCGGCCTGGGTTCGGATCCCAGGCGTGCACCGACGCACCGCTTCTCTGGCCATGTTGAGGCCGCGTCCCATGTATAGCATCTAGAAGGATGTGCAGCTATGACATACAACTATCTACTGGGGCTTTGGGGATAAAAAGGAGGAGGATTGGCAGTGGATGTTAGCTCAGAGCCGGTCTTCCTCAGCAAAAAGAGGAGGATTAGCATGGATGTTAGCTCAGGGCTGATCTTCCTCACAAAAAACAAACAAACAAACAAACAAAACTTTAAGCCAAGAATACTCTATCCAGCGAAACTATCCTTCAGATATGCTGGAGAAATAAAAACTTTCTCAGATAAACAAAAGCTGAGGGAATTCATCACTACTAGGCCTCCCTTACAAGAAATGCTCAAGGATGCCCTCATACCTGAAACAAAAAGTCAAAGGTTTATAAAGCCTTGAGAAAGGAAAAATAGACAGAGAAATCAGAAAATTGAAGCTTCTATCAGAACAGGTTAGCAAACACTTAATTATAACATAAAAGAAAAAGGAAAGAAAAGCATAAAAAATAACTATAAATCATTTTAATCACAAACTCACAACACAAAATGGAATACGTTGTGACAACAATAACTTAGAAGGAGAAGAGGAAAGGGATGGAACCTGCTTAGGCTAATGGAGATAAGAGGCTCTCAGAAAATGGACTATCTCATCTACGAGATCTTTTATACAAACCTCATGGTAACCACTAAACAAAAAATCAGAGCAGAGGCATAAATCATAAATAAAGAGAAAACTGAGAAAACCACCGAACTGAAATGGCAGACAGAAATACAAGGGAAAAGAAACAATGGAAATATAGAACAATCAGAAAACAAAAGATAAAATGGCAGTATTAGGCCTCATATATCAATAATCACTCTAAATGTAAATGGATTGAATTCTCCAATGAAAAGACACAGAGTAGCCGGATTAACAAACAAGACCCAACAATATGCTGCCTCTAGGAAACACATCTCAGCTCTAAAGACAAACACAGGCTCAGAGCGAATGGATGGAAGATGATGCTCCAAGTAAATGGCAAACAAAAGAAAGCAGATGTTGGGGCTGGCCTGGTGGTGTCGTGGTTAAGTTTGCATGCTCTGCTTCTGCAGCCCAGGGTTCACAGGTTTGGATCCTGGGCACAGACCTATGCAACACTTATCAAGCCATGCTGTGGCATGCATCCCACGTATAAAGTTGAGGAAGATGGTCACGGATGTTAGCCCAGGGCCAGTCTTCCTCAGCAAAAAGAGGAAGATTGGCAACGGATATTAGCTCAGGGCTAATCTTCCTCACCAAAAAAAATAAATAAATAAAAGAAAGAAAGAAAGTGTTGCAAAACATATATCAGACAAAGCAGACTTCAAGATAAAAAAGGCAGTGAGAGACAAAGAGGGGCACTATATAATGATAAAAGGGACACTCCACCAAGAGGACATAACACTTATAAATATATATATGCACCTAACACAGGAGCACCAAAGTATATAAAGCAACTATTAACAGACCTAAGAGGAGAAATTAACAGCAACACAATAATAGTGGACTTAAATGGAAACATCTGACCAGGTGGACTTAATAGATATATGTAGAACATGCCATCCAAAAACAGCAGAATACACATTCTTCTTAAGTGAAAACAGCACAATACACATTCTTCTCAAGTGCACATAGAACATTCACAAAGATAGACTATATGTTGAGAAACAAGGCAAGCCTCAATAAATTTAAGAAGATTGAAATCATATCAAGCATCTTTTCTGACAATGCTATGAAACTAGAAATCAACTACAAGAAAAAAGCTGTGAAAGTCATAAATATGTAGAGACTAAACAACATGATGCTGAACAACCATTGGATCATTGAAGAAATCAAAGGAGAAATCAAAAAATACCTGGAGACAAATGAATATGAAAATGCATTATACCAACTTCTATGGGATGCAGCAAAAGTGGTTCTAGGAGGGAAATTCATAGCAATACAGGCCCACCTCAACAAACAAGAAAAATCTCAAATAAGTAATCTTAAACTACACGTAACAGAACTAGAAAAAGAAGAACAAACAAAGCCTAAAGTCAGCAGAAGAAGGGAAATAATAAAAATTAGAGCAGAAATAAATGAAATAGAGACCAAAAAAACAGTAGAAAGGATCAATGAAACTATGAAGAGCTGGTTTTTTGAGAAGATAAACAAAATTGACAAACTCTTAGCCAGACTCACTAAAAAAAAAGAGAAAAGGGTCAAATAAATAAAATTAGAAATGAAATAGGAGAAATTATGACAGATACCACAGAAATACAAAAGATTATAAGAGAATACTATGAAAAACTCTATGCCAACAAGTTGGATAACCTAGAAGAAATGGATAAATTCTTAGACTCATACAACCTCCCAAAACTGAATCAAGAAGAAATAGAGAATATGAATAGACCAATCACGAGTAAAGAGATTGAAACAGTAATCAAAAACCTCCCAAAAAATAAAAGTCCAAGACCAGATGGTTTCTCTGGAGAATTCTACCAAAAATTCAAAGAAGATTTGATACCTATCCTTCTCAAACTATTCCAAAAACTTGAAGACAGAACACTTCCTAACTCATTCTATAATGAGGCCAACATCACCCTGATACCAAAGCCAGACAAGGACATCACAAAGAAGGAAAATTACAGGCTAATATCACCCATGAACACAGATGCAAAAATCCTCAACAAAATATTGGCAAACTGAATACAGCAGTACATGAAAAGGATCGTATATCATGATCAAGTGAGATTTATACCAGGGACACAGGGATGGTTCCACATCTGCAGATCAATCAATGTGATACATCACATTAACAAAATGCGGAATAAAAATCACATGTTTATCTCAATAGATGCAGAAAAAGCATTTGACAAGATCCAACATCTGTTTATGATAAAAACTCTCAATAAAATGGGTATAGAAGGAAAGTACCTCAACATAATAAAGGCCATATGTGACAGATCCACAGCCAACATCATACTCAATGGCAAAAAACTGAAAGCATCCCTCTGAGAACAGGAACAAGACAAGGGTGCCCACTCTCTCCACTCCTATTCAACATAGTACTGGAGGTTTTGGCCAGAGCAATTAGGCAGGAAAAAGAAATAAAAGGGATTCAAATTGGAAAGGAAGAAGTGAAACTCTATCTGCTTGCAGATGATATGATTTTATATATAGAAAACCCTAAAGAATCCACCAGAAAAGCATTAGAGATAATCAACAACTACAGCAAAGTTGCAGCATACAAAATCAACTTATAAAAATCAGTTGTGTTTCTATACTCTAATAACAAAGTAGGAGAAAGTGAAGTCAAGAATACAATCCCATTTACAATCACAACAAAAAGAATAAAATATCTAGGAATAAATTTAACCAAGGAGGTGAAAGACCTATATACTGAAAACTATAAGACATTATTGAAAGAAATCAAAGATGACATAAAGAAATGGAAAGATATTCCATTCACATGGATTGGAAGAACAAACATAGTTTAAATGTCTATGTTACCTAAAGCAATCTACAGATTCAATGCAATCCCAATCAGAATCCCAAGGGCATTCTTCATGCAATAGAACAAAGAATCCTAAAATTTATACGGAACAACAAAAGACCCCAAATAGCCAAAGCAATCCTGAGAAAAAAGAACGAAGCTGGAGGCATCACAATCCCTGACTTCAAAATATACTATGAAGCTATAGGAATCAAAACATCATGGTACTGGCACAAAAACAGACACACAGATCAATGGAACAGAATTGAAAGCCCAGAAATAAAATCACACATCTATGGACAGCTAATCTTTGACAAAGGAGCTAAGGACATACAATGGAGAAAGGAAAGTCTCTTCAATAAATGGTGCTGGGAAAGCTGGACAGCCACATGCAAAAGAATGAATGTAGACCATTGTCTTACACCATACACAAAAATTAACTCAAAATGTATTAAAGACTTGAGTGTAAGACCTGAAACCATAAAAATCCTAGAAGGAAATACAGGCAGTACACTCTTTGACATTGGTCTTAGCAGCATCTTTTCTTTTTCTTTCTTTTTTTTTTTTGTGAGGAAGATCGGCCCTGAGTTAACATCTATGCTAATCCTCCTCTTTTTGCTAAGGAAGACCCGCTCTGAGCTAACATCTATTGCCAGTCCTCCTCCTTTTTTCCCCCAAAGCCCCAGTAGATAGCTGTATGTCATAGTTGCACATCCTTCTAGTTGCTGAACGTGGGACGCAGCCTCAGCGTGGCCGGAGAAGTGGTGCGTCGGTGTGCACCCGGGATCCGAACCCGGGCCGCCAGCAGCAGAGAGCATGCACTTAACCGCTAAGCCACGGGGCCGGCCCGCATCTTTTTGAAATACCATGTCTCTTCAGATATGGGAAACAAAAAATAAACAAATGGGACTTCATCAGACTCAAGAGCTCCTGCAAGGCAAAGGAAACCATGAACAAAACGAAAAAACAACCCTCCTCTTTTTGCTTCAAAAGATTGGCCCTGGGCTAACATCTGTGCCCACCTTCCTCTACCTTATATGTAGGACACCAGCCACAGCATAGCTTGATGAGTGGCGCGTAGGTCCACGCCCCGGGATCTGAACCTGCGAACCCTGGGCTGCCAAAGCGGAGCACATGAACTTAACCACTACACCACGGGCCCAGCCCCTCCTTCACTTTTTAATTGTTGATTTGTAGAAGTTCTTTTTGCATTCCGGACATGAGTCCTTTGTTGGATGAGTGTATTGCCTACTCGTGTTCTTAATGATATCTTGGTGAGCAGAATGTTACTTTGATGAAGTGTAGTTCATCTACTCCTTTATGGGTTGTTCTGTTTGCGTCTTTCCCACCCTGAGGTCATAGAGGTATTTTCCCATTTGCTTCTGCAGGCCTTCTGATTTGGGATTTTATGTTCAGGTCTGTGATTTATCTGATGTTAATTTTTGTACACGGTGTGAAGCAGGGGTTGAGGCTCATCCATCCCCATCTCTCCAGTTGTTCCAGCAGCATTTATTGAAGAGATATTCTTTTACCTACTGCATTACTGTAGCAACTTGACTGAAGAGTAGTTGAACACATGTCTGTTTTGGACTCTTGTGTCCCATAGACCTCTTTGTCTGGATGCCAGCACCACACTATCTTGATGGCTGCAGCTCTTCAGCAGGTCTCAGGATCAGGGTTGTGAGTCCTCCAGCTTGGTTCTTCCTCAGGGCCGCATTGGCCGCTCATGTTCCTTTGTACGTGCATGTAAATGTTAAGAGTCGGCATTTTCATTTCTGTGAAACAAAAGCCTGCTGGGATTTTGATTGGGGTTGTGTTGGCTCTTTTGGTGATTTGGGGAGAACTGTCATCTTAACAGTATTGAGTCTTCTGGGCGAGCCGCAGGGCATAGCTCTCCTTCAGTTAGGTCTGCGTGACTTCTCTCAGCACTGCTCTGTGGTTTTCAGTCTTTAGGTGTTACACATTTTTCCTTAAATGTTTTCCTAAGTTTTTTTTCTTTTTTTTATCATTTAGTGCTGTTGTAAATGGTACATTTAAATTTCCATTTTCCAGTTCTTGCTAGTATTTACTTATTAGTTTGAGTAGTTTTTTTTTTGTAGATTCCTTTGCATTTTCTTCACATACAATCCTGTCATCTACAAATAAAGACAGTTTGACTTCTTCCTTTCTGATCTTTACATCTTTTATTTCTTCTATTACAATTTATTATTGTTATAAAAATAACATTTTAATGTTTTTGCTGTTTCTACCCTAGTGTTCAAGTAAAATGACCCTCTAGTCTAGGAAGATGCTCTCCTGTGGCTTTAAGGGCCTCTCCAACCCTTTGGTGGGGCCCCGTGGAGCACTAACTGTGGCCGGGCCTGTGCCATGGGGATGGGCCACGCGGGTAGGTCTGGATGTATCCAGGGCTCCCAGTGAAGCGCCCACCCCGAGGGACCCTGGGTCCTGCCGGGGAGGGCAGCCAGCATCCCCGCACCTGATCCAGGACGCGGGATTGGGGTCTGGCGCGGTTCCTCGCCGGAGCTAGTGCTGTCCTCCCAGCCCAGCTCCCGCCCTTGGGCCAGGATTCGTTCAGCAGGTGCCCACCGCACGGTTTCAGGGGCTCCCGCGGGCATCAGATGTCATCCTGCAGGGCGGGGCTCTCTCTCGCGTGCCCTGTGGGCCCCAGGGGCTACCTCGCCCCGTGGAGTCGAGCCCCTGTTCCACAGCCAGGGCTGCTGGGCAGAGCTGCATTTCCCTGAGGAGTGTGCGTCTCCCCAGGGCGCCGGGACACGTGGGGCCGGCGCTTGCCGCAGTAGGCGCTGCTGGTGGTGACGCCGTTGTCGCCGCAGGGCTCGACATGGAGGAAGGCAAGGAAGGAGGCACGTGGCTGGGCATCAGCACGCGGGGGAAGCTGGCGGCACTCACCAACTACTTGCAGCCGCGGCTGGACCCGGATGCCCGGGGCCGAGGTACCGCAGGGCGGGGCGGGGCCTCGGGGTCTGAGGCACTGCGGGGCGGGGCCGGGGCGGGGCCTCGGTGCTGAGGTACTTCGGGGCGGGGCCTCGGGGCTGAGGCACTGTGGGGCGGGGCCTCGGGGGTGAGGTACTGCGGGGCGGGGCCTCGAGGCTGAGGCACTGTGGGCTGGGGCCCGGGCGGGGCCTCGGGGTTGAGGTATTGCGAGGCGGGGCTTCGAGGCTGAGGCACTGTGGGGCGGGGCCTCGGTGCTGAGGCACTGCGGGGTGGGGCTGGGGCGGGGCCTCGGGCGGGGAGGTAGTGCAGGGCCGGGCCTTGTGGTGAGGCATGGGGTGCTGAGGCACTGTGAGGCGGGGCCTCGGTGCTGAGGCACTGCGGGGTGGGGTTGGGGCGGGGCCTCGGGGGTGAGGTAGTGCGGGGCCGGGCCTTGTGGTGAGGCCTGGGGTGCTGAGACACTGCGGGGCGGGGCGTCGGCGCCTCGGTACTGCGGGGCCGGGCGGGGCTGGGCGGGGCCTCGCCGCAGGGGCGGGGCCTCGGCTGGGCGGGGCTTCCTTGGGCGGTGCAGAGACCGGAAAAGGAGCGAGAAGAAGGGAAGGAGGGCGTGTCCCGCCCTGCAGCCGCTGGCTGGCATCCCTGGGAGGACCCTCAGCCTGTCCCAGGCTGCACCCACCCGCACAGACGCACTTCGCCCCTCTGAGGGAGCCTGCTCCACGCTGTCCCCGGCCAACGTGTCACTCCTGACTGTTGTCATTGTCCCCCACCTGTGGAATGTTTGCAGAGCAGTGCCCCTAGGAGAACAGCTCCGTGGACACATATTGTCCCCGCTGAAGATTTTTTCCCCTCATGCAGGACTTCCATATGGGGGTGTAATGAAGAAAAATATTTTAAAAATCAGCAATAACGGTTCTTGATGCAGAGCTCCTTGGCTGCTGGGTCAGTGAGGTGTGTGGCTGGTATGGAGGTGTTGAGCCTGGGGGCTCCACCTCAGTCTCCCCAGAGGGAGGGCCCAGCCCTGCCTCCTTTGCTATGGGTGTCTGTCTCCTGCCCACAGGTGAACTTGTGGCCCACTTTCTGACCACTGATGTGGACAGCTTGACCTACCTGAAGAAGGTCTCCGCGGAGGGCCACCTGTACAACGGCTTCAACCTCATAGCAGCCGACTTGAGGTGGGTCTGCCAGGCGGGGACAGCAGCTCCCCAGGTGCTGCACAGGGCCGGGTCGCGGGCTTGGCAGGAAGTGGGGTTCCCGCCCCACCGCTCAGTTTGAGGTACTGTGGCATCTGTGGCCACCTCTCCAGAGTCATGACTCCTTGGTGAGTGTCCCTAAGGTCAAGCCCCTCGGAGAGCAGAGCTGGGTGAGGGGGCTTCCTGGGCAGTGTGAGGGTCGCTGCTGATTCCTGCAGAGAAAGCTGGAGTATGACGGCAATGGGCTCTCCCAGGCACAGGGTGCATCCCTTGCCCATGCCGGCCCCTACTCCCAGTCTTCTGCACACGTCTGTGGCTGAGGAGCCCCCTGTTTTTGAGCCACATTTCACTTGCCCTGCTCTCTCGTGGGCAGAGGTGCCCCAGGCTGGAGAAGGGAGGTCTGAGGCCAACTGACCGTGGTAAAGAATGCCCTGGGACTGTGGTCGCCAGGTATGGCTGAACGCCAGGGCCCTGCGGCGGGGTCCTCAGGGAGGTGCATCTAAGTGGGCAGCCTGACTCATCTCCAGTTCTGCGAGGGGCTTAGAAGACAGTGCCAGGCCCCATCGGGCAACGAAGCTGTCCAAGCTGCCCGTGGGCCTGTCACCAGAGGACCCGGCTGCACAGGCAGTTGGGAGAGGCCTTCCCTCACCTGGAGTGGGGCAGACAGGCAGGGAGCAGGGCCAGGAGGAGGGGCAGAGGGTCCTGCCTTACGGCTGGAGGAGCGGGCTCCCGGGGAAGCTCGCAGCCTGGAGCCTCAGGGGCATCTGTGTTGGCTGTGAGATTCCGGAGTCAGGTTGTTGGGACCCTGCGGGCCCCATGGGGAAGTGGCAGTTGGAGCCTCGCCAGGCCCATGTGGGGCACACAGAGGTACAGCAGGAGTTTGATAGCTACAGCGGCAGCTGGTGGTTACCTGGATGGCCTGGGGGGAGTACATGCTGAGCCCTTCTGGTGCGGCACTGGGCACATCCTCACAGCCACCCCACGTGCCCCTGACGCGGCTGAGCTCAGACAGGCAAGTGACGTGGCCAAGACCACTGCTGGTGTGAGGCAGGGCCGAGGTGCCATGGCTCTGCCCTGGATACCTGGCTGAGGTCCCAGGTGTCCCTGGAGATAGCAGCCACGTCCTACCAGTTGGGCACCAGGCTGGGCAGGAGCGCCGAGCTCTTGGCCATGGTGCCACTGGACACCAGCTTGCAGCATCTGCATTTCCATCTGAGGCTCAAGTAGTGGGTGCTGGATGGCCACGTCGGGCCTTTGTCTGGCTTCTCAGGGTGTGTTTATCTCTGCGGCTCCCATGCCTGGACCCTGGCCACGGCCCTGCACTAGGTCGGGTACCAGCTGCACAGCGACAGCCTGTCACCTGGTGCCATCTGCGGAGTGCTAGCTGAGGGAGAAGGCACTGCCTGTGGCATCAGGGTGGTCTAACTCCCACTGTAGACACTGAGCCCCAAGGTGAAGTGATGATTGGTGCATGGTGCAGGTTAGCAGGAGTCATGTGGGACCCTTGTCTCCTGGGGGGGCCTCAGGGCCTGCGCCTAGGGCTGATGGTCAGATACTGGTGGGCAGAGGCAGGGGGTGGCTGGGGCCACGTGCTGGGTGCCAGGCTGCCGCCCGGCCCCATCTACAAGTGTTGACGGACTCGTTGTATACAGCAGAAGGTGTCAGGTGTGGCAGCAGCAGGGCTGAGGTCTCAAGGCGTGGCCAGTGTGCAGAGGCCCTGGCTGGGTGTCCACGCTCCACTACCTGAGGGCTCGTTTGTGCTTCTAGGTGCAGGCCTCGCAGAGCAGCCGGTGGGTTCGGGTGTTGGTGGGCGGCCCGCATCAGCCCGACCAGGGTGGGCTGGGTGTGCTGTGCTCCCTCCCGTGGGAAGCACACTTTAGAGATGTGGCCACGGGAACTGCAGGGGTTTTGTGTATTTTGCCATTCAGGGAAGTGAGTATCCCTCCCTCTGCCTTCCTCGTCCTCTCCTTGTACCCCTCCCCTCCCTCTCCAATGCCCCAAAAGTCAGTGGGTGCCAGCAGCTCAGAGGAAGCAGTCAGTGCCCTGTAGTCGGCCCGAGTCCCGATGCCTGTCCTGAGCCTGCCTCCTTCCACAAGGGCAGATCCGCGGGCCCCTCTCCTGGCCGCGAGCCCCCAGCCTGCTGTGCCTCAAGAGTCCAGTGTGCAGTTTGCTTGGTCCTGCCCCTGCCTTGCGGATGAATGTATCAGTCCCACGGGAGGAGGGCCGAGGGTGTGGACTGGCACTGGCCCTTGCTGCCCAGAGTCCTCTCCTCCCCACCTTGGCCTGCTTGCACCTTGGGTGGCTCCTGGAGGGGGAGTCCCCATGCCCTCCCTGCTCCCCCCAGTTCAGGGACCACTTTGCCTGTCAATAGTTCCATATACGTCTGACCCGGCCCAAGAGACCAGCCCCTCGGCTGTGACGCCAGCAGAACTCAGTGCTCAGCAGCCATGTCAAGTGACTGGGTGATGGGGGCCACATGCTCTAAGTGGACGCATGCGTGGGCAGGCGGCTCCTACAGGCAGGGGCGGGGTCTTGGGACCCTCAGAGCCTGAGCAGCTCTCCCGGGCCCTGGGGCTGCAGGGTAGGGGCCTGCCTCCCTGGACACAGCCTTTGAGGGCAGGCGGTGGCCAGGGGAGCCCAGCAGGTTATGCCAGAGGACAGATGCGCCCAAGAGGAGCATCCCAAGGGCCAGGCGGCAGCTAGTCCCCACGGCCAAGGTCCAAGAGTGAGGGCGCCAGGTGAGCAAGCAGCCCTGGTGGTGGGTGCCAGGAGGAAGTCAGGGCCGAGAAGAAGAGAGCCTCATCCCCGTCATGGCTGGTCCCTGGGTCAGTCCCCCCTCCACCTAATGAGGTGTGGTGGGAGTGGGCGCCCAATCCCGCAGGTCCTCATGCTTTCCAGCTCTTTGCCTACAAACAAGCCTCTGAAGTCATTAACCAAACATTTTAAGAAATGAGCCAAGGGCTGTGGGGAGAAAGAATGTGAGCAGAATAGAAAGCTATATGGGGGCGGGGGTCCTGCCTGCTGGGCGGCATCAAGCAGGAGGGCTAGGGTGGGCACTCTGAGACTCCCCAGCAGCGCCCACCTGGCCCTTTTTCTATATTTGTTCATTCTGAAGGCCTAGGTCACCGTGTCCAGCATTCCACCAGGACAGCAGCCCATAAGCCAGAAAGAGTCTCTTTTTAGCTTGCAGGAAAGGCATTCCGACTTTTAGCAGAAAGATTTACTATGGTATTTAGGAATTGGAACATTTTCAGCTCTGGAGCATTTTAAACTGCTTTTAAATGCACACTCAGTGTATGAAAGTAGGAGAATGCAGTCTTTGGTGCTTTATTGCGAAGGCTCTGTCACCCTGGGGCATCCTGTCCCGTCCAGAGGTGCTCAGAGAGGGGCTGTGCGGAAGGGACCACGGCCTTCTGGAGGGGACCCGTGTTGGTGGGTGTGGGGCTCAGCCTCCTGCAGTTGTGACCACAGGCAGCCTCTGAGTGCCCGTGCCTGGGGCCATCCATCGAGGCAGGAGGGTCTTTTAGATTCTGCTGCTCCCTGGGCAGTGGTTCCTGCAGCGAGCCAGGGGTCTTGATGACCCTGCCTGAGAGGCTAGGGCCCTGACTAGCCCCTGCCCTGGCTGCAGCAGGCCCCGTCCCTGTGCTGGCTGCTGGCAGGGGCGCTGCTGATGGGGCTGTGGAGATTGCTGGGCAGCAAGGGGTCTAGCGCCCCATGGCTCCTGTCTGACCCTCTCTCGCCTCCTATCCGCAGCACAGAGAAGGGAGATGTCGTTTGCTACTATGGAAACCGCGGGGACCCTGAGCCTGTGGTCCTGGCCCCAGGTGAGCCTGCTCAGGGGGGTGGTGACTGGATGGGGCTGCTCCTATGGGGACACCTCTGTACTTTTCAGAGACTGGGTCCCTGTTGTATTTCTCTCCTGGGACTGTGCTTTTCGGCCGTCTGTGTAGCTTGTGGCCTGTAATGGCCAAGGTCGCTGTACTGTAGCACCCAGTCTACATGTCAGGCTGCCCACAGCTTAGGACGTCCTCCCCCAGGGCCGAGCCGTGACTGTCGGAGAGAATTGGAAACTAAAAGGCACAAAAGGACACAGAGACACCCCCTCTCCCCCCACCATTCTATGCATTGGCCCAGAGGCCTTTGTGGAAGCTTCTGGAAGCTACCCCCATGATGCCCTCAATTCTCAGTGCTTGAGACTCTGTGACTAGAGATGGTTGTTTTCTGCTGAATCATTGCTTGAAAGAAATTCTTTTCAACTGTGTCCTGTTGTTTCATTCCTGAGCCTGCCACTGCCTGATCTGTGTCACTTTTCTTTAACAACAGCTTTACTGAGATATAACTCACATAACACACAGTTCACCCGTTTAAAGTGTATCATTCAGTAGATTTTAGTATATTCGCAAAGTGGTGCAACTATCAGTGCTATCTAATTCTGGAACATTTTCATCACCTTAAAAAGAAACCATATCCATTAGCAGTCACTCCTCATTCTCCTCTGCCCTCAGCCCCTGGCAACCACTCATCTACTTTCTGCTGTAGCTTTGCCTATTCTGGACGTTCATGTAAATGAAATCATACAATATGGGCCTTTTGTGTCTGGCTTCTTTCACTTAGCATGTTTTCAAGGTTCATCCATGTTGTAGCATGAATTGGGGCTTCATTCCTTTTTATGGCTGAATAGTATTCCGTTGTAGGGGTATTCAGCATTTTGTTTCTCCATTCATCTGTTGATGGACATTGTTGTTTCCACCTTTGGGCTATTGTGGATAATGCTGCTGTGAACACTGGTGGACAAGTTTTTGTGTGGACACATGTTTTCATCCCTTTTGGGTGTACACCTAGGAGTGGAGTTGCTGGGTCATAAGGTAACTGTTTAACCTTTTGAGGAGCTGCTAGACTGTTTTCCAAGCAGCTGCACCATTTTACATTCCTGCCCGCAGTGTGTGAGGTTCCATTTTCCCCACATCCTCACCAACACTTGTTATTGACTGCCTTTTGATCACAGCCATCCTAGTGGGTGTGAGTGGTATCTCATGGTGGTTTTGATTTGCATTTCCCTGATGGCTAATGACGTTGAGCATCTTTTCATGTGCTTGTTGACCGTTTGTATAACTTCTTTGGAGAAATGTCTTTTCAGACCCTTTGCCCATTTTTAAATTGGGATTTTTGTATTTTTGTTATTGAGTTGTAGTTCTTTAGTATATTCTAGCTACTGGTCCCTTATCAGATATATGATTTGCAAAAATTGTCTCCCCTTTTGTGGGTTTTATTTTCACTTTCTTCTTGGTATCTTTTGTTTTTTTTTTTTTTTTTTTTTTAAAGATTTTATTTATTCATTTTTTTCCCCCCAAAGCCCCAGTAGATAGCTGTATGTCATAGGTTCACATCCTTCTAGTTGCTGCACGTGGGACTCGGCCTCGCGTTGGACGGAGAAGCGGTGCCCTGGGGCGCGCCCGGGATCCGAACCCGGGCCGCCAGCATCAGAGCGCGCGCACTTAACCGCTAAGCCACGGAGCCGGCCCTTCTTGGTATCTTTTGAAGCACATCATTTTAAATTTTGATGAAGTCCAGTTTATCTATTTTTGTCTTTTGTTGCTCATGCTTTTGGTGTCATATCTAAGAAATCATTGCCTAATCTGATGTGTAGCTTTTCTCATATGTTTTCTTCTAAGAGTTTTATAGTTTAGCTCCTATGTTTAGGTCTTTGGGTCATGTTGGATTGATTCTCGGGTATGGTGTGAGGTGGGGGTCCCACTCCATTCTTTTTTTGTGTGTGAGGAAGATCAGTCCTGAGCTAACATCCATGCCAATCCTCCTCTTTTTGCTGAGGAAGACTGGCCCTGGGCTAACATCTGTGCCCATCTTCTACTTTATATGGGACGCCACCACAGCATGGACCGACAAGTGGTGCGTTGGTGCACTCCCTGGGTCCGAACCCGGGCCCCCAGCAGCGGAGCGCGTGCGCTTAACCGCTATGCCACGGGGCCAGCCCCACACTCCATTCTTTTGCATGTGGCTCCCCAGGTGCTCAGCACCGCTGACCAGTGGTCTTTCCCATTGCTCCTGATGGATAAAACACAGTGACACCCTGTGCTGGCAGCGTGGCTTCCTGGGAAGTGGCTGGAGTCATGTCAGACTTGGTCAAGACCCTCACTCAAAAGTCCAGCCGCTGCAGAGGGTGGCAGCATCTTGTCCCCAGTGTGTCTTTCAGGGTGGGTGACTGAGTTTGCCTGCCCCGCCTGCCGCCGTAGGCTCTCACCAAGAGGCTCTGAGGGGCCTCTCCAGCTCAAGTCTCAAACCTCTCCTTTTTCTGACATGAGAAACCCTTTCCTTTTTTTGTCACACCTTCTGTTAACCCACTGAGAACTTGTTCTGAAGAACTCGCCCTGAGACCCTGCGGCTCCCCCAGCCCAGGTCCCTGCCAGCATATAGAGGTGGACCCTGATTTGGGCAGGCTCCCTAACTGCTGACTGGTGTCCAGCAGGCGCCCTCCTGGCCTCGGGTTGCTGATTCTCTCACCCCTGACCTTCTCAGGTAGACGCACACCTTGCAGCTTTTTCCTAGCTGAGAGACGGGAGTGAGCTGGTGAGGCGATTCCCTCTCGAGTACCCCCTTTGCTTTGCCCTGTTGGATTTCAGGTTGTTTATTCCTTACTATCCTGTCCATCAAGGCCACTTGCCATCTGTGCTTTGCAGTCTCCTGCAGGCACCCCACCACGTTGAGTTCTCCACCCCTGGCCACATGGATGCGTCAGGAATGCACATAGAGAAGGTGCTGGAGTGTGGGGTGGCCTGGCCTCAGTGCCCTTGGCCGTAGCCCTGGCACCTCGGCCAGTGCTAGGTGGGTAGGTGGGAATTTACCCTGAATTCAGACAGCAGGGCCTCTGCACTGACTGAGCTGACCCCTCCTCACAGGGAGCTACGGGCTGAGCAACGCGCTGCTGGAGACGCCCTGGAGGAAGCTGTGCTTTGGGAAGCAGCTCTTCCTGGAGGTTGTGGAACAGAGCCACGCACTCCCCAAGGATGCCCTCATTGCCCAGCTCCTGGATGTGCTCAACAACGACGAGGCGTGAGTGGGCGGGGCCCACTGGGGCAAGTGGAGCAGAGTGGCAGGCAGGCTCTGCTGTCCTAGGAGGCTGGTGGAGGTGACTGAGGCCAGCTCCTCAGCCATGGGGGAGGCTGACGGACACCCTGTCCCCTGCCCACTCCTGCCTGCCCCCCTCGGGCAGCTGCCGTTTCCAACGGGGAAGAGTGGGGTTTTGATGACGGAAAAGGGGGTGGTCCTGGGCCAGTGTGCCGGAAAGCTCAGTACTCTCAGAGGCTTGATGTGGGCTTGCGTGGGGTGAGAGTAGCTAGAGGCTCCCCTCTGTCTGCACGCACAGGGCTAGTGGGAGAGTCCAGAAGGCTCCAGGTGCATAGCAAACCACAGAAATGAGCAGCCAGCCTAGGGGGTTGACTGTCATTCCCACATGCTGTCTCACTAGTGGTCATGGCGCGGATGTGGCCATCCCAGGAATCACCTGGGGCAAAGAAGCTCCCGCCCTGCCTTCCTCACCGGTAGGTCTGGGGGCACCTCAGGTGGCCCCTGCAGGGAACACCTGCCACCCCTTGACATGTCTTGTCCATCCCTGCCGGGAGTCAGAGTGCTTGCCAGGCTGGCCTTCCTCCCATGGAGCGATGCAGCCCACAGGTCCCTCTCCTCCCCTGCCAGGCCAGCCCAGTGTCCTGCCTGCATGGCCCCTCGGAGGAGCCCCTCATGGCCTGCCTTGCATGCTGGCCTCCCCAGAACCCCTCCTGGACCCTTGCTCACCCTTGCTCTCCTCTCTGAACCATGGCACCTTCAGCCTCAGCACAGCCACCTACTTGAGGAAGCCCTGCCCAGTGGCCCGTGCTCAGCTGTAAGTCCACATGGCCCTCGGTCACTGTCTGTCGTCCCCACAGGCCTATGATGGGGCCCTGGCTGCTCTTATTGATGGTTATGGCCCCGGCTCTGGCTACAGTGGCCAGAAAGCCACTGGGCTTGAGTGGGCTCCTGTTGAGAGGAGGCAGGCAGGGAGCACGTGTGGCCAGGTGACTGTACCCCTCAGCCAGTCCCCCACCCACCACCCCCCTGCCCATTCAGGCCCCACTGGGATGAGAGGGCAAGCTCACTCTGGGAGATGGCCTTTGTCCTTCCTTTGGCGACCCTGCATAGCTCTGACCAGATGGACCCCAGGCATTTTCAGACCCAGCAGAGGCTTCCCCAGCACTGAGCTCACAAGTGCTCATGTCCCTGAGGCCCTGGGTCCTGGGAAAACCCCTGGTAGCCCTGGCTGGGGGAGCTGGCCCTGTGATCGCTGTCCGGGGGCCCAGGCCTGGTGATGGAGTCCTAAGCGAAAGTCTGACAGAGATTTGAGGCCTTGAGCAGAAATGTGCATGGAATACCCTGTGGTACCACCACCTTCGAAGGCTGGCAGGCTCCTCAGGCACTGCAGGGCTGTGAAGACGGCAGAAGGGGCTGCAGCAGGCAGCAGAGGGGCTGGGGCTGACCCGTCCTCTGTCCTTCCAGGCAGTTGCCAGACCCGGCCATTGAGGACCAAGGCAGGGAATACGTTCAGCCCATTCTGAGCAAGTACGCGGCTGTGTGTGTGCGCTGCCCGGACTACGGCACCAGGTACGGCAGGCTCCTGGGCACCTCCAGTCCTGTCCCCTGAGGAACCTGGCCTCCTGCGCTCTGTAGGTAGCCAGGGCGAGGCCTTCCTTCCCCAGCTCCATGGATTCTAGACCCTCTGCCCTGTCTAGAAGTGACTGCCATTTCAGCCCAGGGTGAGCAGACGCTATAATTAACGGTCATGCGCAAAACACCTGCCGGCTCCCAGGGGCACTGCAGGTTGGGAAGGAGGGCCCTGAGGCTTCTGTTGCCTCCCGGGGGACTCCTGGGCTGCCCCCTGCCCCCTGCCTAGCCATGAGGGGCCAGGATGGCATCAGGCATCCCAGGGCTGGGATTAGGTCACCTCAGCCAGGTGACGTTGCCTCACCTCAGGGAAGGGGTAGCTGCTGGTCTCAGCCGCAGGTGAGAACATCTGGGAATGAGAAGCTGTTGGCACAGGCGTCTGCTGTCCGAGCAAGTTCCTTCCCCGCCCCCTCCCTCCTGGGTGGAGAAGGAAAGGCTGTGTGTGGCTGGGAAGCCCAACCTGCCTAAGTGGCTATATCAGAGGGCTGTGGAGGGAACTGAGGGCAGCCCAGGTGCTGCACTCAGAGGGTCGGGATGTGCAGAGGGTGGGCCGCTGGGCTAGCGGGGATGCTCCAGGAGTGTTGCCACCACGGCCCAGTCCACCTGGCCTGGAGGTGAGCATGGCCTCCTGTGCAGCCACAGCTGCCTGGGCTCGGCTTGCGCTGGGCCCCACAGGGGCCAGTCTTGTGCCGGACTGGGGACCTGTGGTGACTGTGATGGACCATTGGGTCCACGGCTGCCAAGGACTCAGGGACAGGGTGCTTGTGTGGTGACAGTGCGGACTGATGCCAGAGAGCTGTCACACGTACCGCTGGTCATGATGATGTCACGTGTATGCCTGGCTTTCAGGTTCAGGTCTGATAAGATCCAGTGAGGCCCCTTCTGTCCTCACAGGTGGGAGAGGCTGGGTTATTGCTGCCTTCTTGAAAGTGAGGAGGTGGCTTTCCCTGGAGGCTGTGAGGTGACGTGGGCAAGGCTCTGCTGAGGCTGAGGGCGTCGGGCAGGGGGATGAGGGTGTGAAGTCCTGGAGGGCAGCAGACTGAGGTGGGGCAGGCCTGAGTCATTCATGCTCCGGGAAATGAGAGCTTCAGGTCCTCTGGCTGGGGGACAGGACAGCAGGCAGGGCCAGCTCACTGTGAACGCCAGGCACTGATGCTCCAGGGCCCGTGGGTTGTATGCCTGAAAGGCGGCCTTTCCCCTCAAGCCCCTCTTCTGTCGTAGACTTATTTCCATGACTAAATTGTGTCTTCACCTTTATTTGTGTTCATGAGGCAGAGCACCAAGTCTGCTCCCTGGCTGGGTGCGTGGCTGCTGGGTCCCACCACAACCGGGAACCCCGTCTTCAGCATGTGTGTGCCCGCCCTGGGTGTCAGCCTGCGCTGGGGCTGCTCGGGGGCTCGTGCTTGCCGTGTGTCGGGGGAGACGGGTGCTAGTGAAGCGAGGACTGCTGTGGGGAGAGCTGGGCAGGAGGAGGAGGGTGTGCTGAGCACTGGGGACGGGCAGTGGGGGAGGAGGGGAGGAGGACAGGGGAGAGTTCCAGGTGAAGAAGGCCTGGTCCGTAAGATGTTGGCAGCTGGACCTCTTGGAAGAGCTGAGCTCAGCCATGGGTCTGGGCATCCCTAGGCAGCAGTGCTGGGCTGTTGTCTGGGAGCTCTAGGCGGGTTCTGAGTGGGAAAGTGCATGGTCAGCCCAGGACCCACCCTGGTGAGAGTGGCGGGCGGTCAGGGCCTATGCTGCAGAGGATGGGCAGGGTGGCTGGGAGTGTTTCTGAGTGGAGGCGGCAGGACTCGCTGAGCGTGGGCCTGCAGGGCCAGCCCGGGAGCCCCAGGCCCCACTGGGCTCAGTGCCCAGATGCCCCAGAAGGGCCCCACCACTCCCCAAGGCTGTGGCTGCGGCTCATTCGTGACCCACCTCAAGCCGGGCCAGGTGCCTGGCACAGGCCCCAGGTGTGGTGGGCTTGCCCCTCCTGCATCAGATCTTACCCTAGTTGGGGCTCTTGCAGGTGGACAGAAGGCCAAGGGCAGCGGGCTGAACATGGGCCCCGTGCTCTCTTTCAGAACCAACACGGTTATCCTCGTGGATGCGGATGGGCACGTGACCTTCACAGAGCGCAGCATGCTGGACAAGGACCCCTCCCACTGGGAGACCACCACCCATGAATTCAGGCTGCAGAGCTAACCCCCACCCCCAGGTGTGGCCAGCGGGCTCCTGGAGGGCCCTGCCTTGAGGGCCAGTGTGGATGAGAATCTTCCACAGCCACATGTACTGCCTGTGACTTGGCCAGTGTCCCCCAGGACCAGGGCCCTCTGATTTGTGTGTGATCCATCTATGTCCCTGTGTCCAGCTCAGGGTCCACCCTTATGCCACTGGGAATGACAGAGTCCCATGGCCAGGTCGGGGGCAGGCCCAGATGTGCTGCGCATGTGTGAATGCATCTGGGCCTGTCCCCTGGCCATGCACAGAGGCACAGATGCACAGGCACACACGTCCACCCATAGGGCATGTACACACACGCATGTACACACGCTCGAATGTGCACACACTCCCAGGCATACACACACACGTGTGCCAGATAGGCAGCGGTGTGCCTCTCGCACCCACACATGTTTCTGGCCAGTGGGTCTTTGCTTTGAACAATGTAACAGAAGTAGACTTTTGTTTGAAAGCAGCCCCCTCCTCTCCTGGGGTAGTCCAGTTCCCAACAATCAGACCTGCTCTTGGAGGGGAAACAGGCCACATCTGGAATGAGGAACGATAAAGACCTGAGAAAAACCCACTCTTATAACAGAAGCACAGGTCTGGTGGTCCTTTGTGCACTGGGGGGTCCCCTGTGCATGGGGCGGTCCTGTGGGAGGAGTGATTCCCCCATGCCCCGGGGGTCCTGTGTGCACTGGGGTGCCTCGGCAGGCTCTCAGGCCCCTGCCTGCCCGATGAGGGCCATGGGTTCTGGGGAGGCCCATCTCAGTGAGGGGACACAGCCAGCCCCTGCTGTTTCCTTTCTCAGTGGGGAGTCAGATTTCATAGGAATCTGTACTTGAACGTGAGACATTGATAATAAAACTCTGATGCTGTGGTGAGTTAGTGTATTCCAGGTCCTTAACTTGTGTGATGGGGGATTCCTGGAGCTGTTGTGTGCACAGGGTTGGCAGGGCTGTTCTGGTTGCCAGAGCTCCCAAGGCACAGACACTGGCACAAGGCTTCTTCCACTTTCTCCTTTGCTCATGGCCTCCTGAGCGCCATGATGGAAGCCCGAGGGTCCATTGGCCTGTCTATCCATCTGTCTTTGGGCAGAGGTCAGGGTGTGAGAGACCCTGTGTGCATGGGACACAGTAGGTACTGGTTACAGGGCCTCCTGAGCTGGGCCAGGATTCATCCAGGTACAGTGGGGAGCCCCCAGGAACCCCCTGAGGGAGTGGTGTGGTCAGGCCTGCACTCAGGTGGACCGTGGAGGCCAAGGGATGGCAGGCAGGGGTGGGTTTAAGAGCAGGAGGGCAAGTGGAGTCTGTCTCAGCCCCGGGACCCTGGTTTGGGGCAAGCACTCAGGAGTTCCTGTCTCCAGCCAGGGCCAAGCATAAGGGAGTCCTTATGTCCAATGCTGAGACCCAGGTTCCCTCTGCCTCTGACCCCCATCTGGGCCTTCTCAGAGCAGTGAGAGCTCGGAGTGGAGTATGGACCTGCGCCGGACCCAATTTGCCTTCCCACCCCTCCTCATTCCTGCCCTGAGCACCCCTCCGGGGCTCAATGCCCTCCTTGCTCACTTGGAACTCAGAAGAAAAGAGCTTGAGTGCAGGTAGGCTGTAAAGGGTCTCTCAGGGGTGATGCAGCCCTTGCACCCCCAGGCCCAAGGGGAAACTGGCCACAAGTCCCGCACATCTCTGGCTCAGCCACGACAAGCCAAGCTCTCAGCTCGGGCACCGCTGATGCTGCCAACACCCTTTTTCTGCCTCAGTGGGCTGCCCACGTCATGGACCAGTGCCCCACACCAGCACAGATCCTGCCAGGCGTGTCTGCCCTCGTGTGGCGCTGCTGGGCTGGCTGCAAAGCCATCTGAGGGCCTCCCCAGATGTTCGCCTCTGCCCCACGGATGGTCCCGTGCAGGGATAGCCTTCCTTGCACTTGTCACAGACCCCTGTCCCCAGCCTGCCCCGGCTCCCCAACAGCCCAGGCCCCCCGAGGAAGGGGCCACCCAAGATGGAGTTCTGTTGCTGCTATAGGTTGAGTTGTGTGCCCCGAAAAAGACATGTTGGAGTCCTAGCCCCCAGTACCTCAGAATGTGGCCTTATTTGCATCTTTATGGAGGTAATCAAGATCAAATGAGGTCATTAGGTTGGGTCCTAATCCAATATGACTGGTGTCCTTATGAAAAAAGGGAAAATTTGGATGCAGGGACAAACATGCACGCAGAGAGAACGCCCATGAAGACTGGAGCTGTGCTGCCACCCGCCAAGGAACTGGGAGAGAGGCCTGGAACACATCCTTCCCCGGTGCCTTCAGAGGGAGCACAGGCCTGCCAACGCCTTCATCTCAGGCTTCTGGCCTCTAGAATGTGAGACAATAAATTTCTGTGGTTTAAGCCACTCACTTGTGGTACTTTGTTATGGCAGCCCTAGCAAAATAATACAATTGTGACCCTCACTTTACAGATGAGGAAACCAAGGCTTGGGGAGACACCGTTAACAGTCTCTGGGCAGGTGGGAAGGCAGAGCCATGAGGTCAGGAAGGAGCAGGATGAGGACAAGGTGGACCTCGGAGTGCCTGCCCCTGTGGGCCCACGGTCCTCCCACACTGGTCTCCCCCTGCTCCCTGGCACCCCTCCTGCCATCACCTCACTTGCCCCGGCCCTTGCCACTGCTCATGGCCATGCTTTCTGCACAGCTCCTGCCCCAGGGCCTTTGCACTTGCTGTCCTCTCTGCCTGAGGAACTCGTCTCCCAGATATCCAAACTGCACTCTCCCTCACATCCTGCAGGTCTTTACTAAAGTGTTGGGGTGGCATCCCATCTAAAGGTGCCATCTTCTCTGCCTCAGTCCCTGCTCTTCTTGTCTCTATAGCACTTAGCACTGTCTGACGGGCTATGTATTTTGATTGTTTCTTGTGTGTCTCCCTGTCAGAATGAGTGCTCCGGGAACGCAGGACCTTTCCTCTCTTGCCACCATTGTATTCTGATGCTTAAGGCAGGTAGACATTTGAACCAAGGTGCTTCCTGAGCCCCTGTTTATTTAGACCAGTGCCTTGAAGTTAGGCCCTTGTGCCGTTAGAAGAGTACAAGGACCCTAGGAGCTGATCCCTTCTAGAAGTGCTTTGTTTTGGGGAGGAAGATCAGCCCTGAGCTACCATCTGCCAATCCTATTTTTGCTGAGGAAGACTGGTCCTGGGCTAACATCCGTGCCCATCTTCCTCCACTTTATATGGGACGCCGCCACAGCATGGCTTGACAAACGCGTCTGTGCGCGCCCGGGATCCAAACCCCGGGCCGCCGCAGCGGAGCGCGCGCACTTAACCACTACGCCACCGGGCCAGCCCCTAGAAGTGCTTTTGACACGCCACCCAGCAAGGCCTGGACCTGACCTTAGCATGGCTTAGCCAGTCCTCTTTGCTTGTCACCAGATGCATCTGATCCCTGAGTCCCCAACAGGGGTCCTCTTCTCCCGGCAGATGGGGAATTCACCTCCTTCTCAGATGCCCCTTCCCAGATGAGCCGCTTCTGCTTTCTGGCTCCAAGAGGGCTGAGTTGAGGTGTGCAGGTGTGGAGGCTGGAGGTGAGGGGCTGACCAATGTGGAGGCAAGTCTATGAGCAAACACAATCAGCCCAAGAACACACTCTGGCCCCGGGTCTCCTGGTGGGCCTGGGCTCCTGGCCTTCTGCGCGCAGAGACCCCCCAACACCCTGTCTTTTCGTCTCTGCCAGCAGATGGCATTGTCCAGGCCCTTCAGCAGAGGCTTGGCTCATGGGTGAGCTGGGGTGAAGTGGAAACACAGGAGCCTAGAGGGAAAAGATTCCTCCCCCAGCTTGGGCTGGAGTTCCAGCTTCCAGGCATTGATCTTTGTGACTCAGGCTGGAGCTAGGCAGGGACTGTGAGGAGGTCCGTGGTGAGAGCTTCCTTGTCCATTACTCAGTTGGTCCCAGGCCATGTGGGAAGCTGGCTGTAGTGTGCAGTTCTCAAGTCTGACTGGGGCAGGTGGGATCCCCAACTCATGAAGCAACGACGTGTAGAGAGGTCCCTAAGGCTGGATGATGTCGTGTCAGGGGTTCCCATGGGCTCTGACTGCACTTGGCCAAGGTCAGCAGCTGGCCCAGCCACAGGGAAGCTGGCGTCCCTTGACTGAGTCCAGGAGCCAGACCCTCATGGGGTTTGGTGCCCACTGTGAGGTGCCAGGTGCTGACCACTGGGGCAGCCAGGCAAACAGAAGCAAGCAGGAAGGGAGGGAATGGTCTGGGTAGGCCTCCAGCTTCATCACCTGCAACACTTCGTCTCCCCGCCTTTTTTCACTTTTCCATTTTGAGATTATTTCAATTTACTAAAAACTTGAAAAAATACAACAAAGAATCCCAATGTCTTTGACCCAATTTCCCCAAATGTTAACACCTTACCTAACCACAGTAAAATGATTACAACCAGGAAGTTAGCATTGATACAATACTATGAACTGGTCTGCAGACTTTATTTGAATTTTACCAGTTGTCTCACTAATATCTCTTTTCTGAGCCACAATCCAACCTAGGGTCCAGATGCCACACCACACTTCGCTCCCACAAGTGATACATGTCCTTCTCAGGAGGCCCACGATATATCCCTTTACTGGTGCTAAGTTTTTTTTCTTGATTTGTGTTGAGGTATAATTAATACAATGCAATGCACGTCTTTAAAGTGTACAATTTGATAAGTTTGAATGTGTAACATTTGATGGTGACTTTGATCACTTGATTAAGGTGGTGTCTCCCAGGTTTTTCCCACTGTAAAGTTACTATGTTCCCTTTGCTATCTTGGGGGAGAAACTTTGCAACTCTGTAAAAAACAAAAAAAGAAACCGACCTGTTTCTCATACTTTTTCTCACTATTTTTAGCATGAGAGACTTTCCATTTCCATCATTTCTTTTACATTTATCGACCGAGATTCTGGTCTAAGGAAGAGCTGTCCCTTCTCCATTTACTCATACCCTCCCTCCTGACACACGTTAGCAAATGGAAGAGTGCCAGTTGATGCACTTGTCTTTTTGCTTTAGCTGGGAAACGTGTAATGCCTCTGTGTGCGCGGTCTCCTCCGCAGCCTACACCGGAGACGCCCGGAGCGCCGGGACCGCCCGGGCGCCCTCTGTTCCCCGCCCTCCCCGGCTCCCGGCGTTCCCCGCGCCCCCGTTCCCGGCGCCCCTCGCGGCCGCCGCCCTCAGACGGTTAGCGGGCTGCGGCCTCGGCGCCTGGT